CTTTAGAAAGTCTTTGTCATGGCATCTAGACAAAAGTTTTACCAAAGTCTAAGCAAAACACATCTGTGAACTTTCTTCTTAACTTCTTACCCACTTGCCTATGCATAAAGTTTTATTTAACACATTAGTTATACACGATAGACTCTTGCTGAAACCTGACGGGTAATCTTTAAATGTTCTTGATCCTATTTTTCCAGCATGAATGATTCTGGTATTGTAATGAGTCCACTTAATTGTAGTTTCCCAGGTTCTCTCTAGCATCCTGTTCTCCAGTTTCCTGATACAATAAGTATTTGTTACATAGTTGGTCTAATTTTCTAGGGGTCCTTTAAAATACAAAGGTAAACGTGAAAAATATTTCTGAAACTAGTTTCTTAAATTAACTAGGCTATCATTAGAATTGGCTCTATGGTATAGATTTTTGAGATGTCCAAGTCATGAGGTAATTTGAGAGAAACTTTTCCTATTAATGGAAACTTTTCCATTAAATAAAGATTTAATGAATTCTTAGTCTGTAAGCAATTCTGTTTCTACTTTTGAGAAACCCACTGACTAGCTGCAATGACTAGTCTTACTCTACATGGGTTTCTCCCTGTGATATTTATTCCTTAATTTTTTTGAGAATTCTTGCAATGGAATCTCAAAGTTTTCTTAACAGGGAGTACATGCCTAGTGAACCATCATGCTGTGGGCTCTGAACATGCTAAAACATTTGCATTTTCAGAAAATATTAACAGAGAGCACTTTGTTTTTCTGCCTGTACATATCTCAGGTCTCATCTCACACTATGTAGGCATTGTTGATTGCTAACTGAGTAGCTACGTGGCTATTCAATACTTACTCCTTTTTAAAGTTCCAAATGACCAATGAATGTTCAATAATGACCACCCTTATGTATTTCCACTTTCATATATCAAATTAGACACAAAGTAGCCTGGAGATAATCACTCTCTGCTGCTTCATAATATAAGGGTTCAAAGTCATTTTAACAAGAGCATGAAAGGGTATATTAATATGCTTACCCCATCCAAGACACAAAAAGCGTTTCCGTATAAGCCGTGTCCTGATTTTTCCAGTTACAGCCATATATGATTGCCACGCCTCAGTCAAAACCCAACAGAATGAAGCCAGGAAGAAAAAGTGCAAAAATGCAGTGGTGGTTGTACAGATGCTCTGTGGAAACAAACAAAAACAGACTCACACTGAACCTATTTGGGGTGAGTGATCAGGAAATCATGTGTCCTTCAGAGGATTGTTAATTTTTGACTCATTGTTTTTATTTCAAATATCTACCTCTTTTCTAATTTACAGAAATTAGAAACCCTATACTCTTTATGCTGTGTTCAATATCTATGGTAGAAAAATTATATATCCTAATTCCATTTGTGCATTCAGTTTTTTTTAAAGAAGAGAATTCTGAATATAAATTTGAACTCAAGGGAGATTAAAATTACTGCTTTACTGGAATTTTTTCCTTGAAATATAATTAAGAGAATTGTGGGTTGTTTGTTTTTTAGTTTAAGTTACAGACATCTTGCATAATTATTTTGGCTACATTCTTTATTCTTCCTTTTTAACTGATTTTTTTTGTTGTTGTTTCATCTGTGTTGATGTTAAGATTGTATTGCAAGTGCAACAGCCTTTCAAATGGAAAAATTACTTTGCTTTTTATATGTGTGTAATATTTAAGATATAACAGCAAAGTACAAAAATGAGGTTTGGCTAATAGCCTAGTACAAAAATAACATATGTATTTTAAAGTACTTAATACATTGCTTCTCTGTTATTACATTGCAATGCGTGTCTTAATCAAATCATTTGAAAAGCTAATTGACTCACTGGCAGGGCACAGCTATGATTTTATAGATATTTTTCTTCATGCAACTTAATCATTTTGAATGTGCTGACCATTAATTGTAACACATCTGCAAAATATCAGCAGCTTCATTTTGGTAAAGGTTGCTACTTTTTTCATAATTGATATAATTTCTTTGTGTAAATCTTGCTGAAATGCAAGTCTTTATAAACCAGAACCAGTAGCAAAACTAATTTCTTCCTTCATCATTCTCAGTCTTGCTGTTTTCAAAAACTGAAAATGTCAATACAAAGATAGTAGAATTAAATAAAAAAACAAACTCAATACAAAGAAATAAAAATATAACTCCTATCTTCCCACTTCTACCCCAATCCACTGCTCATGCTGAACATCTTATTAGAATTTTTATTTTTTTGGCCCAAATTATTCATATTATTTGTTTATTCCATTGAAATTTGCCAGACAATAATTTAGCTTTCCAGTTTTTCTAATTCTTTAAAAGGAACTTTTGCATGTTTATCTCACCAGGTTGTTTTAATGATGAGAGAGAATGTATAGAAGCTGAGTAGTACTGTGCTTGGTATATAGCAAGTGCTCAACCAATTATGACTATTATCCTTATTATTATAAGCAATGCTAAAAAAAGGTATTACCATTTTTCAGCATGTGGTCCCTTATTTAATGTAGTACTTAGATCTACTTAGCACTTAAGTCGATGCTTACAAAGATGATAAAATCATGGGTTTCTTGAATGCTCTTCCTCATACCTATGCTCCCATCTCAGGTATAATGTAGCAGCTCTAACCACTTGTAATTCCTCTTATACTTGAGGCATTGAGACTCGTTTTTTCCCAAGTTAAGGTTTAAATATCTGCAGGCTTACTGCTTTGCTCATTCTTGATCTGTAGTCCCTGATCTCTATTTGAATTTCAAAGATAACTCTTCTATTTAATATCCAAAGACTATTTACCATTTCCAATTCACATGTCATGTCCTTCCACCAGTTCCCTTCATCTCAATTTTATGTGCTTGCAAAGCTATCCCTTCTTTATTTTAAAACTATCAATAAAGAGTTATATAAAACACTGTAAAAATGTTGAAATGTTAGACTCTAAGTCCTGGATGCATTGAAATGTCATACAAAATAATGAAGTGCACAATGTCTAAACACAGAATTTTTAAAATTTGTTCTCTCTATATTGTGTTTGTTACTTTGGGACTTGCTGGTATTCACTTTAGTTCTAACACAAACTGAAGAACATATAATTTGGGGCTACTGACATTCATTTCAATAATGCATGTCTCTCTGGACAATAATATGGCCACAGCCTGTGGCAGGAAATGTATTGTAACTAAAGAAGTAAGGACTATTTCTACAGGCAGTAGAGTTCGACCATGGCTAGACAAATATTCATGTATGTCTTGAAAGTGCTCCAAATACGAAGGTAAGCTGTCTAAAACTAAAGGATGTGCACATGTGAACCCTAAAGACATCTAAAGTCACAAAACTAACCTTATATGAAGAGTACAGGAAAATCTATGATTTTGAGAAATAGAGAAAGTGAGTCACATTTTGCTTCATCATCATGTGACGAATCAGTATAAAATCACTTAACACAATGAAACACGTGTATTGTTTTGATATGTTTGCTAAGTTGTAACAATGCACGTAGTCTTTTTAAAATATCACTTTTATAAATAGGAATTTTTAAATGAACTTTATGATTTTCCACATATGGCACGTCAACTTCCACAAGATTGGCCTTTCTAATGTTCCAGACTCAGAAGTCTTTGATCTTGTCTTTTACATAACGTAAATCCCACATCAGCAAATTCCCAAAGATTAACCATCCTCAGTACTAGGGCTTTTTTTCACTGAGACACCTCAAACTCTGATCGTCCTTTTCTATAAACAGGCTTATATTTTGGTACCTTTTCAATTACGGATACCACTCGATCCACTGTTGTGACCTCTGGTCTTATAGCTTTTCCTCATGCAGCCTTCACGCATACACTCTTGACTGCCACGATAGCTGAGTGCTCACAGTTCACCACTACAAACGTGAGACTTACTAGCACCTCAAGTTCATCATCCAGTTCTGATCTATCCGCTTTGTCAAAACCCAATATGGCCTCATCAGTGTTACAGCTGATGAGTATAATTGACAAATATTGCAAAACTTAAAATGGATTTAAGTTGGCACACAGAGCACTGTTTTTTTTTTTTTTTTGAGACAGAGTCTCACTCTGTTGCCCGGGCTAGAGTGCCATGGCGTCAGCCTAGCTCACAGCAACCTCAAACTCCTGGGCTCAAGCAATCCTTCTGCCTCAGCCTCCCGAGTAGCTGGGACTACAGGCATGCGCCACCATGCCCGGCTAATTTTTTCTATATATTTTTAGTTGCCCAATTAATTTCTTTCTATTTTTAGTAGAGACGGGTCTCGCTCTTGCTCAGGCTGGTTTCGAACTCCTGATCTCAAACAATCTTCCTGCCTCGGCCTCCCAGAGAGCTAGGATTACAGGCGTGAGCCACTGCGCCCGGCCCAGAGCACTGTTTATACCTGTCACCCTCATACCCCCGGCACTCCAAATCCTTAGAGACAGCAGACAAGATTTCTCAAAATAACCGGAAAAAAAAAGTATAAACTACTAGAGACTGTGAGAAATCCCATAAAAATGAAGGCATATGAGAACAGATTAAAGATGGATACCATATCCCAAAGCTAGATGTTAGGAGCAGGAATTAAGACATGGAAAGTAGAGAAGAGTTAGGATACATGGATGACACAGCAGTTCTGATCTATGTTTAAAAGTACTTCCCAAAGGAAGAGACAGAGAACATCGGGGGAAAGATAGCATTTAAAGAAAGAACATGGGGAAATAACTCAGCACTTTAAAAATTCTTCTGGCTGTGGGATAAAAATGAAACACAAGCACACAGAGATATATTGTGATGAAATACATGAACATTGAGAACAAAGAGAAAAATCTTAAAAGCTGTCAGAGAGAAAAGAAAGATTACTTACACAGAAATAAGAATCAGATGACATCAGATTCCTTGTGAGCAACCCAGGATACAAGAAGGCAGTGGAATAATATCCTCAATGTTCTAAGGGAAAATAACTTTGAAGATAGAATTCTACACTCAGCCAAACTATTATTAAAGTGAGAGGCTGAAATCAAAATATTTTTAGAATTGAAAGGAACTTTGAAGTTTATTACCTCAAGACGCTCTCTGAAAGAATTGCTAGATGATATACACCATTAATAAGAAGAACTTCAAAAGCAGGGAATGAGATAAAAGATGTGATCAATATTAAAAAAGTAATAAAATCTATTAAGTACAAATAACTGTTTAATGTACACAAATATAAATATAATTGTTAAAATATAGCCACCCGGATATAAAACGCAAAATAATATCTGAGAGGGTTAAAAGATGAGAGGGATGAGTGTTGCAAGGGAGCGGAGGAAAATAAAAGTATTCTAAGCCTTTTTGGTGTTTTTTGTTCTCAGGGATATTAGAGATACTGATTAACTCAAGATGATAGAAAAATACATTTGAACATTTATGGTAAAAATGTTAAAGTAATGATAAAAAGTAGAAAAAGTAATATATTTTTAAAATAGAAGAAAAACTAGAACTAAGAAAAAGTCTATCCATCCAATTAAAGGTGGGCAAAAGGACAAAAAACTAGGAAACACGATAAGTAGAAAAAAATAAGAAAATAAAAAGAATTCCAGACATATCAAAAATCACAATAAATGGGACTGCTTTAAATTCACTGGTTAAAAGTTAGAAACTTTCACATTGGATTTAAAAAACTTCTAATTCCAGTAATTTGTTTTTAAGAGACATACCTCAAACCCTATGACACAAGAAGACTGAGAATAAAGAGAAAGAGAGCTATATGCTAGGCAAATGTTAATATGTAAAAATCAGATGTCACAATGTAAAATTGGGGAAAACATTAAAAGGGATGAAATGGAAGTTTTCATACTGATAAAAAGAGCAGGCCACAAAGAAGATTCAGAAGTAACATATCTCTATGGAAACAATAACAATTTTTCAAAGTATGTGAAGCAAAAACTGAGAAACTATAAGGATAAACTGTCAAACTAAAATTATAATGAAGGACTTAGCATATAGCTCTCAGAAAGCCACAGAAGAATAATGATAATATGGCAGATTATAATAACAAAATCAACACAAGTGATTAATATTTTCTTTGCAATATTATACATAAAAAGCAAAGCATGTACAGTTCTTTAAAATATCAATGAAGTATTAATATTTACAGAAGTTAACTAGTCTTAGAACAAAAAGTGAAATAAAATGCA